TCACCTTTGGGACTGGGGGTATGGTCGGAACGCAAAAAAGGTCGGATTATCAGAAAAAAGTAAAATAAACAATCTTCCCTTTGTCCAGTCTTTGTAGCACTGCTAATTTTTCATTTAATGAAAGAGTAACGTATTTACGTTTCACTCCTGACATGTTGAAAACACACACAAAACTGTACACATACACACAATGTAAAACATATACTGTAACAAACACAGAAGAATGCCATGGACGGTGAGTCACTGACGAGTCGGGACAAGTTTCTCAACTCCGACCACGGTCGGATTAACCGGAGTGACGGACTAGCCGAGGGCAGACTAGAGGGGTTCTACTGTATTCACATTTACTTTAATGCTCCCCTCAAGTAATGATAGCAGAGAAAGGCCATTTTCAGGTTTAAGAGAGTAAAAATCTATATGCACAGCACAATGGTACATACTTGATTAGTTAAATTCACTTGCAATATTGTCTACTGATGTGGTAATTACCAGAAAAGTTTTCCTTCAATAAAGCATAAAAAAACTTGTTCATACTTTAATAAAAGACTCTGTCATGCCAATATGTGTTTTTTGATTTGATTCTGACCTGTTCAGGTTGTATTGTAAATGTAAATAAAAAATTAAGAAATTAAAATTGACAATAAGTGTATTTTCTTTGCTGAATATTTAATTATGGGTAATTGGGTATATGGATGGGTCCAAATTCACCTTTGTGTCTCAGGCCCAAGATACTAAAGGTGTGTTTGTAAAGTTTTTTAACTTTATGAACATACCCTTAGCAGTATCTTTAAATGAATGTTTGCCTAGCTGGTCCTAAAGTAATGATAAATTGCAGATTTGAATGAGGCAGTTGGGACCTTATCAAAACTACGATCATGCCCATAAGAGTAAAATAAATCATAGTGGCATATTGTCCTAGGGGCATTGCTTAGGCCCCCAAACCAATCTTTTATAAACTGCAGTAAGAATATTTAAATTTAAATTTTGGACAAATCTGGGAACCCTAGATTGCTGGTGTGGCACAGATACAGTGAACACTGTAGCAGCACAGAACTTAACCACTCTGCAGTGATCAATGGATATACCCGTCAAGGACGATCACGTAGCACTGGAGAACGACATCTATACAGTAGAGCGTCGTTTATCAGAAAGAATTCCAATCGGCAAATTTAAATTTTTGCTGGTGCTGTGGCGCTGCAATCTTTGCCTATATCTTGGGCTACTCCAATATTTTTTTTTTGTTGGTGTGTGTGTTTTAGCTGGCAGCACTGACACTATTGTGTGATGTTTTTCTGAGGACTGTGTGTCGTGTTGAATCGAACGTTTTTGATAGTAGATCAACTTCTAAAGTATATTTTTTTCGGTTTTTATATTTTTCAATATATTTATTTTATGTGTACAAAATAAAAAAATAATTATTAATGATACAATAGTCTTCATTAGGCTTAACATCGATGAAAATTGAACACAAAGCGATACACAACGGAGAAAAATTTCAACACGTGACAGGTTAATATATTTTTTCCTACATAATCGGTTATCCGAACAACCCCATTCCCCAATTGATTCGGATAAACGACATCTGCAAAAAAAGCTTGCAGATATTGCCAAAAACTACTGTGAAAAAAAGTTCACATAAAAAAGGAATTATATGACAATAAAGAAAGATTTTTCTTTAATAGCCATAACTGTTTAAAAAATTTTTTCTGATCGGCAATTTACTACACCGGGTTAAAGTAAATACAAAATCAACAAACCAGGAACCTGTTTCCGGTGTGCTTCTAGGTAAAACAAAGTGTTACAAACGTTTTCGAACTTGTAACATTTTGAACGGCATTCGCTTAGATGTCGGTTACCTGAAGAAGAACTTACAAGTTCGAAAACGTTTGTAACACTTTGTTTTACCTAGAAGCACACCGGAAACAGGTTCCTGGTACGTTGATTTTGTATTTAAATTTTTTCTGAAACAGAAACAAGAAAAATGCATGGGAAAATTCTTAAAAAATTTCCCACATTTATTCTCTACTACATCGTGATAGTGCCATATCTGACTAACCCTCTCTACAAAGATTAACCCTCCAGAAGTTGTATTAAGAAAACAAACAAGGTTACTGGGGATTCTCCCCAAAAAATTTTCATAAAAGAAAAGTTTCTGAAGTCAACACCACACGTGGCTCTAATTCAAATCTGCTTTGGCCCCACGAAGTTATGTGAAAAGTCAGGAACTGATGGTCTAAATATTACCCTTTATGAAATATAGCCCCCAAAATCAGGTAGTACATGTGATATGCTTAAAAAAGCAGGGAGCACAACTCCAATCATGCCTCAAAAGTAATCTGTACAATGGCGTTTCTTACATTTTAGGAGCTTGTAGCAACCTCTAGTAAAGCGGAAAACATTTCATTTTTAGCATTGTTTGGAAAAATAGTTCTGGATTTTTTCACTTTTTAAATCTTACCACAGTTTTGAGAGTTTGAAAAATTACAGATAGGATGATTTCAAAGGCTAAATCTCACTCTACATAGACAATTGGTCCCTTTGTTTTATGGCCATGGGCATGGTCTACAGCTCCAATAAGGTACCGCAGCAGTTGGAAACACAGAATTTGACCATCTTTCCCAATCAACATGACATCAGACCACGGCTAACTCAATTTTTGGGTAGACGCATTTCTGTCTAGTCACTTGTCTGGTGGTGAACCCAAACCATCATTAGCAGCTGACATGATTGTAACTTATAGATATCCTGGAAAATAAATTTAGGCAACTACCAATGGATTCTCTCATCTGTCCTGAGATCATTTATTTGACCCTACATCGAGGCTACTCCTGGATGTAATTGGATGATCCACACGACTGATTCTTTCATCAAGGAATGCACCTTAGTGGCCTCCTCAATACAAACCACCCCATTTAAAGCTGCAATTTTACCATATTTGGCTCCTCTGATAACAGTTTGCTCATCCCTGTTATATTTAGAAATCACTAAATAATGTGATAGTTTTTCAAATAGTTGACCATAAAACTTGTACTCAAATTCCTTTGGAATTTAGGAATGTTACGTAAATGAATACACGTATTTTTTTTCCTCCATAACGAATGAATTTTCAAAACAATATGAAAATTATCAAGCTGATTATCAATATCAAAACACGTTCATTCAAACGCCGAAATCGCTTAAACTATTAATAGAGCTGTCAGTATATACACGAACACAAATTCTTAGAATTCTTGAGCTTAATCTAAATTAATTAAAATATTTTAAAATACTTTACGCCATATTTATAGTTCAACAGAATTTCAAAAATAAATCAAAATTTTTGACCTGTTAACTAAAGTTAACGTAAAATTACCTTTATATCTTTCATATTCATATCCTTGATACAAACCACATGTTAGCTCTTAAGAATAGAGTAAATGTTGCCACCTTATTTACAGCAAACGGGGGAAAATATTTTAATTCATTTTTCTTGAGAGTAAATATTTATTTATTTATGAGCAGAAGTAAATGATCGAACAGAAATAATTGATTTAAAAATTTTACGTAATAATTATTAAATTTATAATTTAAAAATTATATATATCAATAAACAACCTTTCTCACTAGAGGGAGTATGAAAAAAAGCAGCGTGTTTTTCGGAATGTAAACAACGTGGGCGAATGGCAATTATTGCAAGCCACGATCTAGGTTGGTTGATATGCCATAAAACATATCTTAATCGCATGTATAATACATGTATAGATCTTACTACTGAAAAAAGAAGCGAATTTCGTGTAAGCGTGCTCGATTCTATATTTCATATTGAAAATCATTTCGTAATGGACAGTGCAGCTAGAAAATTAGCGGATAAACAATCGTCGTCACGTATAAAGGTAGATTTTTAATTTATCCTTCGTAAAAGTTATTATATTCATCCGATTAGAATATTTCTTAATGTAAACTGTTGTAAATAAACATTTTTCATATGAATTCCAATATTTTATCTGTAATGTCTGTCTTGTGTAGTGCAGTTATTATAAGTTATTATATATCTTCAGTTAAATCAATGTAATATCATTTCTAAAGATTGTAGACCATCCAAAATCAACAAGAGTAGTCAGGACATTTCTATAAAGTATTTTGCTCCAAAATTTTTTTACATCTTAATTCTATATGCTTAAAATGGAGTGGCATAATTCAGAAAAATTTGTATTACAATCCATGATTGTTATTGATGTTTTGCTCATGTAGACAGTTTTATACTCCTAATTTTTAGTGTCACTTCCATTCATTGTTACATCTGTATTAAATATATGCCACCAAATAATGTCATGTTAGCACTACGTGTGTTTGTAAGATAATGACAAAAAATTATATGTGTGAAAAATATTAAGTGTTAATGCTAATGATCAAATTTTTTGCTAGTCATTAAGTACTAAACTGTAGAGAATCATATTCCATGAAGTGTTTTGAACCTAAGGTCTTTTTATTTTGTGCTCCAATTGTAGGTTTGGTAATCTATATGTTTTAATAACAATTTATTTGAGATTCAAGGAATTTCAACAATAAGATATTCAATTTAATATCATAATTGAATCATAAAAAAAGGCCCCCAAAATCTGTGGTCGTCTTATAGGACAGATACAAAAAAAAATTTGATTGAAATTTATATAAATTAAAACCATTATAAAAAGACTGACAAACCGTAATTATTTACTAGAAGAGAGTAGGGTATGTGAACAAAATAGAATAGCCCATACAATGTTTTTATGAATAGTCAAGGTCATGCCAAATCAGTGCCAATGTTTGCAACAATTGCAAGGCAATGCTGCCAGATGCAAGAAAATAAAATTTGTTCATTCGAAAAATTACAAATAGGACATAATTCCATATATATTATATAGTATTATTATTCAGATGATGATCGCTGATCTGAACTAAATTCATAGGCCGTTGATAGTTTGGGGGTCATCTTATAGGACAGATATATGCTAAAAGTATAAAATTTCAATGAAAATTTATACCTCATCTTATCTGCTGAGATATACGGTAAATACAAATATAATAATAAACCAAAATATAATTCTTTATGTATGGAGTATCTAATAACATTTACTACCTATTATATAAACTGTATTAACAAAATGTATGCAAGTTTAGTTTCATAACAAATACGTTAAAAACACTTCAAAATTGTTGTTTTCTCACTTTTTTGTTTGCAAATCTATCAATCACTTTCTTCAGATCAAGTTGATAAGCTATTGTTTTTTCAATTGTTATAGTAGCCAGAGCTAAGATGGTGTTGGGACATGCTGCTTCTTAAATAGGTTTTGATTAAGTTTAGTTTTGAACATGTCATTATGCTGTCACTGTCATTGCCAGTAAAGTTAAAAAAAATAAGGCATGCTGCAATAATGTTGGAGAAGCTACTCGAGGCTGCAGTGTGAATTAAAAGTAGTTCAGCAACTTTGTGTATAGAAGTAATTTCTTTTACCTGAGTATAAAAATACATTTTAAATTAAAGCAGTTGAGGTCCAATACTAGGTAAAATGTTGGAGGGATATGCCGATTGTAACAATTCTGATCCTTCCAGCATTTTTTTATCAGATGATGCGACAAGATATGTAGGTGATAAGCACTTAAAAAGTGTACATAATTGTCAAATGGATTCAAATCTCATAGTTAATTGATTAATTATTAAATCAAAAATAATTTTTTTTACAAATGGTTTTACAAGTTTTTATTTCGCCCTTTCTAACTTGGTGCCCTCATGATTTGTGTGCTTGGAGAGTTTGCTCCAACAGCTCCATGGTAGCTATGTCTCTGTGACTAGACATACTGCATGCTCCAAAAACTTATCATGTGTTTAGCAAGTAGCCTGGATCCATCATTATATGTCACAAAGAGTCACATATATACCATCGGTTCCTTTGACTATTTTTATTCTTCTGGGCATGGTCTGCAGCTATGATAAGATTCCAACTACCTTATTCAGACCTACAATTTCAACCTACATCTGGGTACTTTCAATCAGATGAAAAGCATTAAGTTGTACTAAAGAGATAGAAGAGAGAAAATAAAATAAAATTATGAATGTTTTGAAAAACATTGTTATTATCATACAAATTCCAAAAACTGGAAATATTCAAAGATAACACTCACCAACACTAAAATCCAGCAAAATAGAAAAATTTTATTGTATACTAGTGTTTTCATCCATATCTAATGTTATATATGGATAAAAACATTTGTTTACAGTAAAATTTTTCTGTTTTCTGAATTTTGGTGTTGGTGAATGTTAAGTTTACTCATAAATCTAATTGATTTATAAATATATTTTTGAATTAAGTATTTAAATTTGTTTTTCAGAAGAGGAAGCGAGAAGAAGATATTTCAGATCCTTTATACAATGAGGTATTTGACTTAATTTTATATTAGTTATTATAAATTTCTGATTATAATTTTTACAAATGTAATAAATTTTTTTAAATTTAATTGAATATAAATTTACTTTTGAAATTATTTTATAATCATTTATACAGATAAAAGATATTTTAGAGAATTCTCTGGGTCAGTTAATAAAGATGGGGAAAGAATGCAATTACATTAATGAAGGACTGTTATCATCCACAGAGATCAGAAACAATAATTCTGAAGCAAAATCTGTTGCAGAAGTATTAAATAAAAATTTTCTGTTGGAATTTTGTAATGAAAAAAATTCAGGTAAAATGAAAAACAAATGCTTTTTATTTAATATGTTATATAAATAAACAGTTCCTAAAACTGGATGAAGTTCAAATTAATACACCAACACCAAAACTCCACAGAAATATATACTATAATGAGCAATTATTTATTGTGACATTGTCATAATGCCAGGCTACAATTTTTTATCATATTTTTGATTTATTTAATTTAAAATATATGGTTTCCACCTTAAATTAGTAGTGGTATGTCCCTGTACATCATGCTTTTTCTTTAACAATAGAGTTGTGGTGGTCATCTATCTAACACCTTTCAGGGAAAAATTTTTGAAATGAAATAACATGACTTCTAGTTTGTATTAGAAGTTCTTATACAGTTAGTCGGGGACTCCAGCTTCCAAGGTTTTCATATATGGTCTCGTCTTTCATCTATTTAACTTTGTTCTCAAGATGGACAGACAGACAGATGGACAAGAGTGGGAATTTATAGGTCTACAATTTTTTCAAATTGCAGCCCAATAAACTAACCTCTTAAACAGTCATAATCAGGCTTAATGTAATTAATTTGAATAGTCATCATAATTAGAACATGTTTAAATTTATTAGTTTAAATTGATGATGACTGTTTAAGAGGTTAGTTTATTACAGTGTACATTTTGATGAATTTTTGTTGTTGGTGTATTAACTTTAACATCTAATCATCAATATCAATCACTCTCACTTTCTCTAACTTATTGTTATGAATTCTTAATACTTGTGAGTGATATTACAAATAAAATATTAAATGAAAATTTTAATTATTGTATATTTTTTTAGGTGAATTTGATAAATTCAAAGAGAGTTTATCTGATATAACAACATATCCTTTTGACTTGCCTGGAATTTCTGTATTTTTGGGGAAAAAATATATAATTCCAGATCGAACAAGGTTTCTTCTGGGTGACATCTCTCAAATAGAAACTTTAATAAAGAATACAAGTAAATTTCTGTAATATTATTTATAATTGCAAAAATTTGATTGCTTTAAAAAGTTAAATTCTATTTTGTTGTTTTTGATCTCTTTATTAATTAGTTAATAATAATATAATTTTTTATAATTACATTTAAATAATAACAATATTAAAACTTCAAAATTGTTTAAAATAGGTTTTTTTTTAATCAAATCAGTATCTTTCACAAATAAACCTCTCACTGAAAAAGTGTGAAAGGCATTGATTTGATTTGTTTCAGCTTTGATAAATAGACTTTCTTTTATGGTTTGGTATTCTATCCTACAGATCTTTCAAATACTAATGTTAGTGATGAATACCAACATGTTTGTGAGATCCAAATTTAAATCAAATAACACGTGCCTCAGAAAAACCTTTAACCGATGCGAAATAAAATTTAACAGTACAAATGTTTTCAGACCCTCTCCTGGGTCCTCCTTCAGGTAAAAAAAATTGTTTGAAACGTCACTAAATAAGAAAAAACATTCGTTTGGAATGATTTTTTAAAAATCGGAAAGATAGAACGGAATCACATGATCGATAACTCCGAACGTCAAAGCTTCTACGTCATATCGACAGCTATTTAAATATTTTTCCTTTTTTTAAATGTTTTTAAATGTTAAAACGTTACTAAATACGAAAAACATTCGTATTTAGTAAAAAAAAATCGTTTGAAACGTTACTAAATACGAAAAACATTCGTATTTAGTAACGTTTCAAACGATTTTTTTTTGCCTGAAGAAGGACACAGGTCAGGTCTGAAAATGTTTGTATTGTTAAATTTTATTTCGCATCGGTTAAAGGTTTTTCTGAGGCACGTGTTATTTAACTCCAATGTGCAGTTGATTGTTATAATTTAAATCAAATTTCATAACTATACAAAATGTAACAAACAAAACTTTATTATACATGAGCAAAGCAACTGTATCATACATCCACACCCCTCAGTGACAGACAGACAAAACAAACTTTCGTGCACTTTTTACAAGTGTTGCCAGCCAACTCCAGTTAGGAATAGTGTTTACAGACAGTCTTCTGAATCTCTGATGTCAGTGGCCACAATGGCATATCATTTATAATTTCAAAAAATACTCTGAGAAAACTGCACTTATACTTTTATGAATTTTATTTATTTAATTCTAATATATTGAATTTTAACACATATTCATTATTTTATTCAAACTATTGTTTTTTTTTTATATACATGTAGGACCTAGATTATCTGGACTAATTGGGGATGAAGGTAGTCCGGATAAGGGAAAAATTTGGATAATTGAGACAAATACTTTAATTTGTCTTTTAATGATAATACAACACATTTTCTTTTCGATGACATATCGGTAATATTAAAAGTAAATACTGTATTTAAACCGTGATCAAATTTTCAAGAAACAAACGTTCATATTGAATTTGGACTACTATTGACCAACGCTAACAGACTACCTATTGTTTAAAAGGCCCTCTGGTAGTGCAAGAAGACGGATTTTATAAAATAAAAAGCAGTTGAAACTGCATTTTTATGAATAAAAATTTGACAAACTATTTATCATTTTATGATGAGTAAAATTCTTTTGTCGCGTTCGCGGCTTTTAACTAATGTATAAACCTTCGAAACGCGAGGCCCTTCGGACCGTGAGGCACAGGCAGTGGCCACGTTGCCCATGCCTTATGCCGCCCTTGGTAATAGAAATGATGTAATTTGAAAATAAATTATTTATAAATACGTATGTCAAGTTATATTTTTATTACGACGCAAAATATATTTAAGAGTTTACGGCNTAGAAATGATGTAATTTGAAAATAAATTATTTATAAATACGTATGTCAAGTTATATTTTTATTACGACGCAAAATATATTTAAGAGTTTACGGCCACTGTGCTGGGTGAGACGTTGTTGAAACAAAAAAAGTTATGCATTCCATCACGTACATAAACAGTATCGTAATTCGCCAAGTGCAAATCAGCAAATTCATAAAATTTTTGTTTATTTTGAACAATCCGGATAATCGAAAATCCGGATAATAGAGGTCTGGATAATCGAGGTTCTACTGTATATATAAATTGTTTTAATTTGTGATTTTCTTGATTTTAAAGAATCATCAAAGCACAGGGCCTTCCAAAAAGAATGTTACCAGTTTAAGTTACTGTAATTATGTTAATTATTACCTGAGAGGTATGTGAAGTACATCAATTGATAGAGAACCATTTGAGTTTATCTATCTTCTGCATACAAATGTCTTGTCTGCTGCCTCTAGGAAGTGACATAAACAAAAATGATAACTCTGTAACAGAAAAAATATTCTGTGTTCTGCAGTTTGTAAAATGGAATCAGTCATCATTATGCAAAATGAATTTTTCAGAGAATTTCAAAATCATCCACCATATATCCTTGTTCATAATGATGATTGAATCTGAGTTTGCAGACTGCAGAACACTAAATGCCTTCTCTGTTGTGGATTCATTATTTTTGGTACTTCCTAGAGGCAGTAGACAAAAGTTGTTTGATTGCAGATATGCAATCAAATGAAACTGAAACAGCTATTCTATTGATTGATGTACAACACACAGTGACAGATCATTGCATAGGCACAAGAAGCACATTTGGAGCCTCAGAAAGTTAGCAGCTTTGAAAAAAGATACATTTTGCAAACCTCAGGCATGGATACCACCTTCATCTAGATCTTTTGAGATTTATTTTCAAGGAAATGATTGATGATCAGTATTTTTTAAATTAAATTAAGTAATACTAAATAATGATAGCATTATTTAGTACTTAGAAAAAGAGTCTCAAAAATAGGTTGCACTTGGGATTCTTCAAGTATTTGATTCACCACTGACAATGCATACTTCTCAGTAATAATTACAGTAATTTAAAATGGTAGCATTCTTTTCAGAAGACCCTGTATACAAATGAAAAAGTTTTTTTGTTTCATTAGTATTCAATAGTTGTATACAAGAAAATATTTTCTGTAAAAAAATTGTTAAATTATAGATAAGTAGGGAAATTAGATAAGCAAATAAATTTATTTATATAAAATTTATTAATATAAGATGAAGTTTTTCAGTACAATATTTTTTGTGTAAATACCCTTCATAGTTAGGTATTCATTTCTGCAAGCAAATTAAATCAATGACATTTAATCAAATATATTTTTTTTCATTTCTTTCTCACCTGTTTCTAAGAAGCAGAATTTTATTCCGAAGAAATGATATAAGTTTTTCTGGCCAAGATTTAATTTATGATGATCTTTCTGATAATATAAAATTAAAAACTAATTGAAAATCAATGAAAGAATGTCATGTTGAGAAGTTATATTTGGAGGAATTTTATACTGAATGGGGTAAGTTTATTATCTGGAATAGAAGAAGAGAAGAGCACAACTACAGCAAGAGCAAAATTGAGCGTATCTGGTCATCATGACAATCAAAAACAAAAACATGAATTTTGTAGACCATCCATCCACTTTCCATCTGCATGTACAGTACATGTGGAGAATGGAAGAACCAACACATATACATAAAAGAGGAATTCTTGCAATTCTGTGTATTTTAACATATATATAATAGAAAATTATTGGTTCTGTAAAAACACTTAATTTCTATCAAAATAATTTTATCCAAGATTATTGTTACTTCTTTCATATATAAGCCATTTGAAATTAAATAATAATAATTTTAATTGTGTTCTGACTTAAATAGAATAAAACTTGAATCATTTTTCCAGTTTTTTTTTGTCAATTACATAAAAGCAATCTCTTAAATTTATTCTGTAGAAAATAAATTTGATGTGATTCTTATGGATCCACCATGGTTTAACAAATCTATTAAAAGAAAGAAAAGGTAAGATGATGCTATAGATGAAATTATAATAATACAGTAAAATATTTCTGATTTTAAATAATAAATCGAAAAGTTATCCTATGTTACGTAATGAAGATTTATTGAATATTCCAATCCCTCAACTGGCAAATTCCAACTGCCTTGTTATTGTTTGGGTAACAAATAATCAGAATCAAGTGCATTTTATCAAAGAAAAATTATTTCCAAACTGGTCAGTGCAGTATTGTGCAGATTGGCATTGGATCAAAGTAAGTTCTATAACTTTTTCTTCAACATTCAATAAAACCTGAAATTATAAATAATATTTATACTTCAGATTACTACTCATGGAATTCCTGTCTTACCTTTGCACTTTCACCATAAGAAACCTTATGAAAATTTAATAATTGGAAGGTTTAAGTCATCCAAAAGTGATGTGGAGCTGCCGGCAATACCAAATCATAAAGTGATCGTCAGTATTCCTAGTAGCATACATTCTCACAAGCCTCCTCTCACAGGTAGTTATCACCTATTAATTATTATTCTTAATATTTAATGTAATAAAAGCTTATTTTGTAGAAGTTCTGAAGCCTTACATTAAGGAGGATGCCAAATGTTTAGAACTGTTTGCGAGATACTTGATACCCGGTTGGACGAGTTGTGGAAATGAGGTGGAAATACTCTTTTTACTTGTAAAAAGCAAAATTATTATTATTAAAATGTAATAATTAATAAATAATTTTTCAGGTTTTAAAACTACAGGATCTGAATTTATTTGAAGTTTCAAAATTAAAATGACAAATGTATTTATTATTTTTGAAATATTAAAATAAACTTTATTAATAAGTTTATTTATTTATTTATTTATTTATTTATATATCCAAAAATACACTTCTGTACACTGTCAATTTAATTTTACATTAAGAGCAGTCTATAAAATTTTATAACCAATGTTCATGATGTAAGCATCCACAATCATACTTATTATTTCTAGAAACTGGATACTCAGGAAGCTCAAAATCATCCCATTCTAGAGTAGATTTGCTATCATTCTCGCTGTTCTGTAAGGGGATATCACACATATAACGAGGATTATATCCATAATTCTTGTAACATCTTTCATTGTTCCATACATTATGAGGAATACTCTGCAATTCGTAAAGCCTTCCTCTTTTATAGTGATTAATTCTGGCTTTGTCACTTCTCGCAGTGTTAAAATGAATATCTTCCAAGTGATAAAGTTCAGGGGTTGTAGACACATTATTTAACATCGACGTACCCATAATTGGCATTTCTCTTTCTAAACGAGAATCGTAGGGAGCCGCTTGTTTAAAAGTAACGTTTGGAACATTCTTCGTCCTGTTGTTGCTGGTGTAAACACGACAAAATGGCGTCGTCACTAATGGAGGATTATTCTTGTATTTGTACAGACAATTTGGTCGGCTTCTCCATTTACGAAATAAAATAAAGATTACGAATAAGAGGATGATTAATATAATAGCAACTATAACGAGAGATGCAAAACAAAAAGATGTTGACAAAGTTTCTTTATGTATATTAGATTCTCTTGCTGATGTAGTGTGATTCTGCAGTCGTAGTGCAGCCATTTAATTTTAAACGTGCAGTTTTATTTAAATATTTTAATAGCTCAGGCTTAGGTTACTTCCATTTACATGCAAAATAATTTAATACTCACTGTGAAACAATAAAATAATAAAGTTAATATAAATGCAGCAGCGCTATCTACTAGGAAATTAAAACAATATAATTTGTTTTCTCTGTTCATTGTTTAACTTATAGAAACTAACAATAATAATCTGTTGATAAATTATATCATTTCTTAGTAAATAAAAGTTCGGAATTTGACATTTATTACCCGTTTTAATTTTTAAATTAAAACGGGTAATAAATGTAAAATTCCGAACTTTTATTTATTTTTGCTAGAATTTTTAAATTTTAATTTAAAGTAATTTATTATGGTAATTAGGAAGAATGTAGCAGGAGGTAATACTCTGTTTACCTCCTCCTACATGGGCGTCTGGAGAAAATTTTCCAGGGAACAAAGTTTGGAAAAAAATAATTACATCAATAAATTTTTATTTAATTTTTTGGTCCCACCAGTGACCGAATGGATAAAACCACTAAACGCTGGTTATTGGTCGTGGATTTTGCTCCTGGCCATCAGGCTGGTCACGTGAAGTTTTTCAAGTTTTAATATCTTTGTGGGATTCAGGCGAATTTGTATTAGGGGACCATGAACAGTGTTGATTTCAGGCAGTTTTCTTCGTGGAATGTTTTGGGGAAATATTTTCTTATAAACGATTGGTTTGGGGGCCCCAGGTAATTACTCCCTTTGCCCATAGGATAGCAAGCCATTTCCGAGTTTGTAACACCTAAGTAGGGCCAGTTTTCCAGAGAAAGACCGGCAGATCGCTCACGTATCGCGTTGCCATAATTTAATTTTTTAGGTTTGTTTTTTTAAATACAGATAAAGAATCCCATGGTCGAGAATGTTAGGTTACATATCTCAATCACTTTTACGATTATTACTTGTGGAATATTTTACTCAATGCTAGGTTGCCCCTAGCATTTGTTCAAGTGTTCAAATGGCAATTGTTCCATTCGACTTCTTTCTGGGGATATGTATTAAGAAAATAATTTCCTATGATTTTTACTCCTAATAATTTTGCACTCCTCAATAGAGGAGTGCAAAATTATATAATTTATTCTGAGAATTTAGGACATATTTTCTTGTAATAAATATTATATTGATAGTTTGTGGGGATTAATGGGGGTGATGTGGGTGTTGGAACCCTAGAGGCTTTAGGAATAAAATTTAAACTAAAAAATTCGTCTTAAACAACAATCTTAAATTACATTTTATTAATGGATAATTCAATATTGATGAATTATTCATTTTTTATTACAATAAAAAAAATGAATGCTCGGTTATCAATCGTTTATTTGGGCTACGTGACTGTAGATTGTTCTAGAAGTAAGATCTTAGTTTGGATAACGAGTTTGTTCTCGAAATTTCCTTCTAGATGAATCCGGAGCATTCTAGAGCAGTTGTCTGACAGATATATAAGGGGAGCTCATTTGTTTCTGCTTTACTCTGCACAGAAAATTTATAATTCGAAGACACGTTCTTAAAATATTGTATTAAGGATTTAACTGATTAAAAACTTTCCTATCAAGTTGAGCTTTGATATTTTTGACATTATGCCATTCTATTTTCGCTTTTAAGATAATATTGTATTCACTATAGAATAATCGAATCCGGATCCTTGATTCAGGTAAGATTTAATTATAATAGAATCTGCAGGAATTAAGGATGAATTAAGTTTTATATTGTGTTGAATCAAACACTAAGCAACAAACGGAAAAAAATGTTTTTCGCTCCGATTTCTACGTTAACTGGAGCAATTGAGGATCATTCAAGTATTACATCTGCAAGATATGGGAAGAGCGATTCGTCTATATCTGACGGTTGTTGGTGATATTTGATGGCTTGAGGTTGCAGTCACTATTTATTTTTCTTTCCAGTCATGCCGAAATTGTCTGAAAATAGTTTCTGTGTATTTTGCAAATGTATTTAACGTCAGATCTGATGACACAATTAGGGGTATTTGCTTTCTGGTGATCGGTGACGAAGGAGAAGTAAATAAAGGACAAATTTTTGATTCTGTGATGCTTGAACGACCCGTTAAAAATCTTAGGAGATCAAAAGTTTTAATTATAAATGTGAAAAACGCAATGAAATATTTACAGAAAACGGGAAATTTCTTTTGGCACTACCAATTCTTCGTTGATATTGATATCACCATGAACAAGATTTCGTTATCTTGACTTCTGATTGAAAGTGCCCTCCAGTGGCCGAATGAATAAAACCACTGAACACTGGTACTTGGTCATCGGTTCGAGCTTCTCCAATGGGATGGCCTCGTGGGGTTTTTCGGGTTTTCTTTACGTTAGTAACACCTATATAGGGGCCAATTGTTCATAGAAAGTCCTCCCGGGAGGCATTCACCTCGGCAGATCATCCATGTGTCTCGTTGCCATATACAAATATACACAAAATTGATTGAAATTACCTCCTCGAGCGACCTATTGGCCGATCTTGATCTTATTACATTTGTTAAATTCATCGGCAATTTTGCATAATTTTTCAATTGTACAACAAGCTTAAAAATGTTAGAAACTATCGTAGTAAACCCTCGACTTTTATTTATGAATATACAGGTAGACGGATAGTGTATACGATTCGTACTGTAAGGTTTCGATTTTATAGTCTCAGTTTAATTATATATCGCTCATACCGAGTTTACAAATCCAACAGCTCGTTACATTTTTACCCACTTCCTTTTCAAATTAGCGCATCAGTGACCAACGTGCTTGCCACATAGTTTTCCGGATTTCTTTTACGTGTGTAATACTTAAATAGGGGGTAGATGACTATATGTCAGAGTGGTAAAGATAGCAGCTCACCATTCTGGATAACCCGGATCAAATCCGGACGGGTCGAAAAATCCCAACCACTTTTCAGGGGACCGTCCGGGAATACCGGTCCCTCACCACCAATTATAGGCCTGGCCGAACCATAATGAGCTTGCTAAAAAAATGTTCTCTTAATGGCTCGTAGGGCAGACCTAAAATAGGGTGAATTTTTTATGAAAGTCTTCTCTTAGAAGATCGCCCGAGTGGTGTTGTCTTATTTCAATATTTTCACAAATCTTCTAAGAAAAATTTTTAATAGATTTTACTTTAATATTTAATTAAAAATGAATTTTATCTAGAATACTGCATATGCGTTTACTCGTTATACCTATGCATACACTTACGTCAAGAAGCAACTACGTACTATACATGGTATATATTTATTGCATCGGGCACATGTTTATTAGAACCAGTTTAATTCAGAAACTACTGCGTATATTTACAGAAAAAACTTCGGCTATTAGTTAATTTACTAATATGAAAATATTATTAGTCGTCAGCATTATGCTTATTTTCTTCAAAGTAGAATGTCGGAGAAAGAGTAAGAAACAATTTTTATTTGAATCTATTCTGTAAAGTATTTATTTAGTATTTAATTTAATTTAATTTTAATTTAGGCCGTTGTTGTAAGCTGGAAAAGGTAGTGGGACCTTGCTTGGCTTACGGTCCTAGCTATTTTTATAATAAATATACTGGGAAGTGCGAATTTTTCGTATATGGTGGATGTGGTGGCAATTGCAATAGATTCGGTACGCAGGTGGAATGCTGTGAAGTTTGTGGGGATTGTAAGTAATAGTTATTAATAGAAAAAAATTCTAGCTAACCGTAATATGTATGTATTATTTTCAGATAGGTGTTACGAAGACGTTGTTTAATCTGCATTATTCATGAAATTAGACGGTTTATGCGAATAAACTTTGAATATTATTAAATAACTGCTTAATTTAAATCATTTTTGTCTTGAATTTTCTCTTCTTTTTTGTTTTTTAAAATTATACTTTACGGAAGTCGAATGCCACGAGTAAATACTCTTAATCGGGCTCAGAAAGAGAGAAGACATTAAGACCATTTGGTCAGGTGCTTCCAAAAGTTAGTTTTTATATAAAAGAAAAATACAATACTAAAGTATTATAAACAATAGAGGATTCAGAATTTTTAGAGCGGGTGCAGAAAGGAAACAATATGCCTTACAAAATTTTTTAGTACCCGAGTCACTTGGCATTAATCGGGAAAACCTGCCATAATGAAATGCCGCGCGTCCTGCACACCCCTCTCTAAATCCCCCAGTGGATATAAATATGAGTTTTTACTAACAAATAAAACAAAGTCAGTTTTTAATTATTTTATTAATATAGTTTTGCTTTTCGGGTATAGCCTGTACATTTAAAATAAGCCGAGCGTTATCTCCCTCACCACCCGGCCACCCCATTGTGGGTCTGGCCGAACCCATAATGGGCTTGCTAATGGAGCCCTCTTAGTGCTCTTAGAGAGGAATGAGTTAAAGAATAGTAATTTCTAGTGACTATGGTTAACAAATTAGTACATAAACTAATGTGAAAAGAAAAGAAAAATATTTTTTTTTTATATTTAAATTAAGTAGCATCTCATTTACATTCAAACATTTATTTAATCTCATTACTCAAGGAACTAGTGATAGCCGATTCGCAATTTCAACCAAACAAGATGGCGGAATGGCCGAGCTGCTAAGGTGGCAGCTTGGCCAGTCAGCCATCTTGTGGGAAGTGGTTCATCCGGATTTATCGGGGCCCCGTCTCTCATACCAATTCGCTTCACTATGGGCCTGGCCGATCTGATAATGGCTTGCTAAAAAATTTCTCTCAATAACCACAGGACGGAGAGTAAAGAAACCCAAACGAGATGTAAAAGCGCCCACATCATCACATCCTAATATAAAATGTGCGCATATGTTCTAATAAATTATGTAATGAAATCGAAGTGTCTGCCTTTAAATGGTGATATTTTAATAAAGAAATATTTATAAAATTTTTCTTTGTTTTTTAAATTGATTTATGTACTAATATTTTAATCGTAAAATCCATTATCTCCGAACTAAAAGTTGCTCCTTTTTGGCGAATAATCTAAATATGTTAACATTTCACTTAGGGTTTGGTTTAAAATTTCGGAGTTGACCTTCATCGTCACTTGTGTGAGAGCCTCTCAAAACGTGAACACTTGAAAAGTTACCTTAATTATCAAATCATCGATTGAATAACCGGGTATTGAGCTTTAACACTTTATTTTGCCACCCTGTTTATAGATATAGGCCTACATAATGCTTATACGGGTGTATAAATCAAGTCACAAAACATAAAGGGCAAACCAATAGCAAATGCTTAAAACAATGAACACCCATAGTTAGTGGGTTGATTTTTTAACGTGCTGTTCACTTGGAATTTTCCGAATTTTTTTTATGTAACACCTAAATAGGGGCAGTTTCCAATATTAATTCCTCTTGGCAGATCGCCAATATGTCGCATCGCCTTATTTCATCGTGCCAAACAGAACTTCTTTTATTATTTAAAAATCTTTTATGAGCTTTATTAAATTAAAAAAATGAAAAGACGAGATACGAAATATTATATAAACTAACATCTGTCATTTTGACAATTGCAAGAATTCGAAACATCTGTATAACTTTATGTCGTCATCAGATGACAGGATGACGACATTATATAACTTCGGAATTGAATTAATTATACCAATGGAGTGGAGTAACGTTAGAAATATTTATTTTTATTCATTGGGAAATAAAATTCGTTATGATTTATTTGCACCGTCTTTCTTCTTAAAATACTAATTGTCTCAGGACCATTTTATGTACAGGTATACCTCGCCTTACGTCGGTAATTGGTTCCAGGAAAACGACGTAAGTCGAAAAACGACGTAAGTCGAATTTACCTGTCTCCTAATCTACTTATCACTAGGAAAGCATTTTAAATAATATATAGTTAATAAAAATCTATTTTAAGCTTACAAACAAATAAATTTTAGTTTTTAATATAGTACAAAAAAA